TGCACATCTTTGGGCTGTGGGAGGAAACTGGAGCACCTGGAGGAAACTCACGCAGACATAGGGAGAACATGCAAACTCCACACAGACAGTCGCCAAAGGAATGAAGCGTACCTGGGTCGCTGGTGCTGTGGGGCAGCAGTGCAAACCACCAAGCTGCCATGCCACCCCATCCTATACAGACCATTGTGAGGCAGTGGGAGCAGGAGTGCACTGAACCTCCAGTTTCCATTCTGCCTTCATCAACCTAAAGAGAAATGTAAAATCCAGTAAGTCGTTAACATGAGGGACATATTCAGCTGAGGCTATTGCTCAGATAGAACACACCAGATTGCACACCCATTAAACATATGGAGTGGTGTTTATTTTTCAGAGTTAGGTAACTCAAAATACATGACATTTTTAATGCAATGTTTCACTCCCAGTAACTGAGCCTTGAAAGGTCTGTTCTTGGCTACATGCTGTTTTGCCACCTGATATAAAACACAAAAAGAACAAAACCTAGAAATTATTCACATCAAGCTGTTCTTCTGGACCCCAAATAACAAAAATCTCTTCTTTATCAACACTACTGTGTGGGAAGAAGCAGTGACAGAATCATGCTGGGAAATGTCATGATATTTTCAGCCTGTTGCAAAAAAAATTGACCCTTTCATTAAGTATTTATCAAATAATAAGAGCACAGTAACAGGGCAAAGACAATAACTTAGGACTTTAATTAGAACCCTCTTTGCTCTCCTAATGTCATTAGAAAAGTTTTACCTCCATAGTCATAGGTGTTCCAAATAAGCCTGTTACAGAGAACAATCAGAGCACAAGTGGATGCCTCATATCTTTTCAAAGGAGGACACAGCTGAATGGGGCTCAAGGATGGACATATTTGAAATTTCATACAATATAACTGAGCATTTGAATCAGCTTTATTGTCACATGTGCCTACATGAGTACAATGAAAAGTTTACAAATCTCCACTTATGGCGCCATCTTAGGTACAAAGGTACAGACTCTAGAGTAAAAATTCTTAGGAAAAGGATGAGAAAATAAAGAAATAAAAAGTCAAGCATTACAGACCGTCAAAAGTACAAAATCATAGTAATAAATTAGAAAAATAAAAGATCAACAATTCAGAATAACAGTCCTTCCGCGATAATTGAATAAAGGGAAAATAAAAGAAATTTAAAAAGAGAACTGAAGACATTGTCCACTTAGTCCTTTTCACAGCTCTGGGCTCGAGGACCCGATCCCCATTGGAGTCTCGGGCTGGATCCACTTCGATGCCGAAGAAAATGCCACATGGGGTCACAGACTGGCTGAAGCCGCTGCAAGGAGACCTAAACCGATGAAAACAGCCACCAAAGCTGCCGAAAGGACTGGCAGGCCATACCAGACCAGCCATGCCACTGTGAAGACACTGCAGAAACCTGAAGGAAAACCCGGGCTATTGGAATCGTGGACCTGGACCCACCTTGTCTTCAGCTGTCACTGATGGAGCCATGAGGAACAGCCAAGTCCCCACTTGATTCAACGCTGCAGCAGCCTCCTAGAACCTCCTTCCTCACCTGAAGCTGCCAACAGAAGGTTAGATGAACTTGAGAGAGCGGTTCATAGGAGAAACTCTGAAGGAAGTCAATAATGGAACATGTGACACATGTTGAGAGACAGCATGATAAACTAAGGTAAGTGATAGCAACTTACTTTACATCTCTCCCTATTTTTACCCTACTGATTTCAGTGGAAGTCATTGTCTTAGTTAAGCTGCACTAGGACAATAATAAATATCAGAGCCAGTTACCCTTTACTGTGAGATGAAGAAGGTTATCAACAAATTATCACTGAGTTCTAAGAGGGAAGAGAAGACTTTGCCCACAGCAGTTCATCAAGAATTTTACATAGAAACCTAAATGTTTATATTATGAACAGCAAATGCTGAAAACACTCAGCAAGTCAGGCAGCATCCTGGAGAGCTAAGGTTTCAAGTTCATCAGATGATAGATCATCAACTTGAAAGATAAACTCTATTTCTGTCTCTGCAAATGCTCCCTAAATTATTGAGTATTTCCAGCATTTTCTGTTAATAGTTCAGACTTTTCTTTTTATTATTTACCTTTACTTATTCATCAGCAGACTGAAAGAAGTACTATTGTGGTCATTACAAAATAAACGTAGGATTAATGCTGTCCTTGTATTTTTTAATTTTGTTGTATCGGGTAAATGTTCTGAAAGGGTTAATAATAATGGCAATACTAAACTCTACTAACCCAATAATGTCATAAGGACTTGGGTGTGGGGAAAAGCAGAACAGCTCTGGACCAAAATATATGTATCATTGAAGTTTCCTCATAGTTTTTGTAACAACGCTTATGATACCAATCTGACTTGTACTTGATTGTTATCATATAATAATCTGTACTTTGTTTAATACAATAGTCTCTTCTGTTAGATAACCTCTACTGCACTAGGCACTAGATCCCACCTAAAAAGTGGATGGTGACAGCAAATCTGCCTTTTGGTGACCAGGATTCCACCTAGCTCATACAATGTGGTGCCAGCGTATTACCTGATTTAGTTTAGCTGCACCATTACCACCATTTTTCTTTCTAATGCATGTTTGTGTCTAATAAATTTTAGAAAAAAATGTTAATTTATTAAATCTGTGAAGACTTTAATTTATTTTTGTTATTCCACTGTACCAAACTGATATAAACATTGCAAGAATTTATACAATGTGCAGTACGTGGATTGCGGGAATTGCAATCGCGCATGGTGTGCAAGGCCAAATTATTTAGCCTACACCTTTTGTATCATGGGAGTGTGAGGTATATTCATAGGAAAGGGTGTACAAACAGTCCCCTAGATTTGCAATCACGGGCCTCAACACAAACACCCCACCAACAACTTTCTTGCATGTTAGACAAACAGATATTTTATGGATATACAAAATTAATGGAATGGAATTAGGGCAAGGTGATTTGGAAAGGAACTTGTACTTCTAGAAATCCATCATTCTCAATGTCTACATCATTTGGCAGTTTAAGAACATATTGACGTGTATGTCCAGAGCACTGCAATTTAGATCTACAAAGTTGTTGCATGGAGGATAAAGCATGGACAGATCACAGCACAGAGATCATTGTGTTCAGTTCTAGTTAATTGTTTATTAAAATGATGTGTGGAATACAAAAGAAATCAATAAAAATGACCTCAAGTGTTAAAAGGGACAAGTTATGTGCAAAAATGAGAAAAGTCTGCAGAGAGATTCAGTGAAGTATATAAAACATTAATGCTTTAGGTATGAATTGCCTTTGAGATTTAATCCAGTTAATTTTTCTTCTGCAGCTTTTTAAAATGAATTTTGCAAAATAAAACCTGTATGTATTACTCACTATTTCGACCCGAAACGTCAGCTTTCCTGCTCCTCTGATGCTGCTTGGCCTGCTGTGTTCATCCAGCTCTACACCTTGTTATCTCAGATTCTCCAGCATCGGCAGTTCCTACTATCTCTGTAACAACTAATTAACTAACTAATTAAGTCTCAGAACTCAGTAATGGTCATTGCTGGGATACCAGAAATCTCAAGGAGAAGATTCATAAAAAACAGACTCCGAGGTAAGTCTCCAACCCCAGCGCCAGTCTCACTGTCCCAAAATTCCAGCCATGCATTCTTCTGTCTCATCCTCCTATTTTTCTGTACACACTTTCTCCTGGCACTGGGAGTAATCCACAGACATCTACATTTGAGGGCTTGCTCACTAATTTTCTACGTACCTTACTAAATTCTGGTTGCAAGACCACAGTCCCCCTTTCTACCTAATCTATTGATACCAACATGGACTATGACCTCCAGTTGTTCAGCCTTCCCCAGAAGAATGCCCTGCAGCCACTCTGGGATATTCTTGATTCTGAAACCAGGGAGACAACACACCATCAGGAGTCACATCCACAGCCAGAGAAACACCTCTCAATCTCTCTAAATAATGAATACCCTGTCATTATTGTTCCTTTCTTCTTCCTCCCTCCTGTTCAGCTGAGCTAATCTCAGTGCCACAAACATGGCTTTGACTGTACTCTCCGGGGGAACCAATGTCCAAATGGAAAGCCGATTTTGTCAATGGGACCCCAAGAGGCTGCTGCATTACATGCCTGTTTCTCTTAAGATTGCCTGGCAGTTACCCACACCCTTCCTTCCTCATCTCTAAACATGCTATCCACCTCAGCCTTCGGATGTGTTACAGTGGCTCCAGTCACCGTTTGAGTTTTGTATTCCTGCTCCTACGTTCGTCTGCTTCTGGCACTGCATCCATATCCAACGTTCTTGCTTGTTGACATTGATATGCTGTATTATGTCCTCCCACTGTCTTTGCAGATTACATGGAGCTTGAGCTGCCCTTATGTGTATTGATGAACTGCCTCATCCTCTCCGCTTCCTCAATGAACAGATCCAGTTCAGTATCAGAGAAATTTGAAACACACACTTACCTGCCCCCCCTCCCATTGCAAAAGAGCGTACTCTTCATCCTGATCAGCCCCTCTTCCATAAACAGTTTTAACACCAACTCCAGAGAGAGTGGGTCTCCCTTTTAAGAGATGTAGACTGGCTTGAAATAGCGCAGGTTAAGTTGTATAAGCATTGCACAAACATGGAGCCCTGTTGAGGGCCGCAGCTACTAACAGCATGGGTAGTGCTGACTACAGGAGACAATTACAAAAACGCTACCTGCACCACAAGTGACAAGCAGAGACTAATGCCTTATTATGATTCCTGTGCCCATTTTCAGGGGCAAATTTAGGCCCCTTGGAGTAAATAACCATAAAAAGTAATGAAAGAGGACAATGGCACAGATGTGTGGGACATCATCATCTGCAAGCCCCTTTCCAAGTCACACCTATTCTGACTTGGAACCATATCACTATTTCTCACTATTACAATGAAAATCTTGGAATTCCCACTCTAACAGCACTGTTCATACATCCACATCCCGTGGACTACACCTTCAAGAAGGTGGCTCACCATCACTTTCCCGGGGCAATTAATATTTGCCCAGATTCCTTATACAAATAAATTTTTTAAAAAACTCCAGACTTGTTTCTGACAAGAAATAGTTTGAGAGGTACATTGAGAGATCTTGGAAGCCAAAGAGCCTTTCCCAATGCCAAAAAACAATCATGCAAACAATAATTTCACACAAATTTCTACATGGTGTTTAAAGGAGAACATTTCTTACCATAGGACCATCTGATTCACCCTCTAGCATCAGTACAGCACTCCTGCCTGGTTTGAGGTCCATTCGCAGAGGTCTAACTTTGAAGGTGGGAACATAATGACCCATTACAGGAGAATTTTTATATTTCATATCACAAGGTGCAGGTTGTTTCTGTGGGCTAGGCTTAAAGATCCGGGGAAAGTCGACTGCCTTCCAGTATATCTGATGGCGTCGCCGTCCACAATTTGTCAGCTTAACTGAATAGCGGCAAACCTCGGAACTGTAACAAAGTAGGATACAACGAAAACAGCTATCAACATTTCAGGTTTATCACAGTTTTCAGTCATGTATTACATGATTGTAGTGGGCGAGACAAAGTTTCATTCTATCAAGATTTATTTGTCTTGCAAGTGCTACTACCATATAAAAGTAGATACATATATTTAATGGACATATAGTAATCACTCAAAGTTTCTATAACATGTCAACACTGCCTCCAATTGACAAAAGACAAGTAGGAGGGAACACAGGGACAACAGTAGATCATGCAGTTCTTCGAGCCTGCTCCACAACTCAATTAAATCACGGCTGCTCTATATTCCATTTACTCAATTTGCTTCCTTAGACGTTATTAACAAAAATCTATCATTCTCAAATAATGACAAGTTTGCATTTAATTGCATTGTTTCATGCCACTGCATATAAATTGAACAATTTTATAAATTTCCATACAATTACGCATAGCTGTAATTATGGAAATAGGCGACATCCAGTCAAAGAGGAAGCTAACTCCAATGAATTACTGTTTATTCAGATTAGTTTCAAAAGTGCAGAGTTTCAGACTACAATTTCCAGCAACATTTAAATCTAAAAATATTGCATGGTGCTTACCTCACCTAAGCCTTCAGTTTGACATCTTCTGTGTCTACAGAAGTGATTTCTCAATTACTCACACATTTAAGAGATGATGTACTTCTGACAAAGAATTCCAGTTGGAAGGATTCAGGATGACAGTTGGCCCCTGATGGTTTGGCAAACACGAAGATGAGCTGGGAGGTGTCAGCAGGAAAAATCATTTGGCTAAAGTAGGACAAAACTGTGGTAATGCTTGCAACGAGGGCAAAGATTCTGAAATCAAGTTGTTAAGGGGCTAGGAGTGTCCCACAGTCAACATCACAGTGAAGCCAGTCTGGCAAGAGTGTCAAAAAGTGATGCAGGGCAAGAGGGAGCAGCTGATGAGGTGTGTAAAGTCAGCTGAGTATTTATACTATCTTTATCACTTATAGTTTGTAAGGCCGTTGCCAAGACTTTATCATTTGTAAGGGCAACAGTGCAGAGTTTGAGAGAAGAAGTGCCCTGGAATAATTTATATTACTTGATTTTAAGGGTGATCTAGGGGTTTAATGGAAGGGGTAATTCATCATCAGAAAGCTCAAGGTCATGGTGTACTCCTTGTGTTCTACGTGGGATATCAGGTACAGTTCCAAAGCCCGGGGCTAGAACGAGTGCAATGTCTCCAGGTGCAGCTTCTGGAAGGCCAATTTTTGGAGCTGTAGCAGCAGCTGAGAATACTGTGGAGCATCCATGAGGCTGAGAGTATCATAGACAGCACATGCTGAAAGGTGGCAACTCTACAGGTTAACATTCTGCAGAGAGGGAGGGAATGGATGAGCACAGGAAGAGAAATTGGACGAGGCAGGCCGTGCAGGAATTCCCTATGGCCATTCCCCTGAAAAACATATATCTCTTCGGATTCTGTTAGGGGGTATGGCCTCTCAGAGCAAAGTAACAATAGCCAAATTCTTGCACTATGATTGTCTCTGCTGCGTGGGACTGGAAAAATAAGCATGGGAAAGATATAGCAATAGGAGATTCAATGATAACAGGAATAGATTAAAAAAAAAAGTTTCTATGGCTGCAAACAAGATTCCAGGATGGTTTGTTGCATCCTGAATGTTATTATGGGGAGGTGATGGCCTAGTGGTATTATCACTGGTGCATCCAACAATAACATCCAGATTGCACCAGTGTTAATCCAGAGACCCAGATAGTGTTCTGGGGACCCGGGTTCAAATCCCGCCATGGCAGATGGTAGAAATTTAATTCAATAAATATCTGGAATTAAGAGTCTAACAGTGACCACAAATCCATTGCCAATTGTTGGGGAAAAACCTAGCTGGTTCACTAATGTCCTTCCTTTAGGGAAGGAAACTGCCATCCTTACCTAGTATGGCCTACATGTGACTCCAGACCCACAGCAATGTGGCTGACATTGCCCTCTGGGCAATTAGAGATGGGTAGTAAATGCTGCCTGGCCAGCGAGGCCCTCATCCCATTAATGAATAAAGGATGTCCCTTATTCAAAAAGTGAGGGAGGCAGACAGTAGAAAAATGAACCAGTTAGTTTAACGTCTGTCGTTGGGAAATTGTTGCAATCTATTATTAAGAAAGTAAGACCAGGACAATTTGGAACATCAAAATTCTATCCATCAGAGCAACTTGGTTTTATGAAGGATAGTTCAAGTTTGACTAATTTGTTAGAGTTCTGTAAAGATGTAATTAGCAAAGTGAATAATTAGGATTCTATAGATGTAGTACAGTTGGACTTCCAGAAGGCATTTGATAAGGTGACCACAAAAGGTTAATACAGAAGGCAAGATTGCAACGGTCTAAAGGGTAGATTAGATACAGGATTGGATAATCGACAGAAAGCAGAGAATCGGAATAAGTGGATCTTTCTCTATTTGGCAAGATGCATCTAGGTCAATGCCACAGGGTTCAATTATCAGGCGCCAGCTATTAAAATTTATACTAGCAACTTGGATGCAAGGATAGAAGGTACAACAGCCAATAGCAGATTATGCTAAAATACGTTGCAATGAAGAAACAAAATATTTACAAGTGGATATGGATAAGTTATGTGAATAAGCCAAAATTTGGCAGATGGAGTTTAATGTGGATAAGTGTAAGGTTTTCAATTTTGACTGGAGGAATAGAAAGGCTACTTATTATCCAAATGGAGCAAAACTTCTCAGTGCTTCAGTACAGAGGGCTCTGGGTACCCTCATATGTGAGCCGCAGAAAACTAGTATACAGTTACAGCAGATACTAGAGAAGGCAAATGGAACTTAGGCATTTATTGCTAAAGGAATAGAATGTACAAGTAAGGAAGTGTTGCTGCAACTGTACAAGGCATTAATGGAACTACACCTGGAATATTGCATACAGTTTATATTCTCTTACTTGAGGAGGGATGTAGTCGCCTTAGAGGCAAGTCAGAGGAGGTTCACTAGGTTAATCGCTGATGGCATGCACTTCGGCACACCTGGGACTGATAAACCGGGGTAGTATTGGCTAGTCCAGTTGGGGATGGTTTAAACTAAAATGGCAGGGGGATGGGACTTTATGCAAGGAGACAGAGAAAGGGAAATGGGAAAAAAAAATCAAAAGGCGGAATAAGAAATAAGAAAAGTGATAGATAGAGAAGTCTAGGACAAGAATCAAACAGGGCCACAGTGCAAAATAATGTGAATGGGACGAAGAATATTAAAAAGGCAAGTCTTAAGGCCTGTGTCTTACCACATGGATCATTCACAATAAAGTGGATGAATTAGCTACACAAATAAATAGAAATGGTTATGCTTTAGTTCACATTACAGAGATGTTGCTGTAGGGTGACTATAGTAGGAACTAATGATTCAGCGGTATTCAGTTTTTAGGAAGGATGGACAAAAGAAAAAGGAAGTGGGTTAGCATGTATGGGTAAAATTTAGAAATACCAAGGAGCAGAAAAATATACTGGGAGTTGTATACAGGCCCCCTAAAGTGCAGTGGTAATATTCAGGAAGGCATTAAACAGGTAATTAGAGATGTAAACAATAAAGGTACATCTACAATTTTAGGTGATTTTAATCTACATATAGATTAGGCAAATTAAATCAGTTGTTACAATTCTTAGACTTTTCTGGATCAACAGGTCATCCTAGACTGGGTATCGTGTAATGAGAAATGAAAACTTAGCAATGTGGTTGTGTAAGGCCCTTGGGGAAAAATGACCATAACATGGTAGAATTCTTCATTAAGATGGAGAGTGACAGAGTTGATTCTGAGACTAGGGTCCTGAACTTAAATAAAGGAATCTGCAATGGTGTGAGGCACAAGCTGGTTACAATATACTGGGGAACGTTACTTAAAGTGATGATGATGGATAGGCAATGACAAACGTTTAAACATGAGTTAATTAAATGTAATATTTCCAAGTTTACAAATACTTCATATCTGGGCGGGAGGATGAACTGTGAGGAGGACACAGAGATGCTTCCGTGTGATTTGGAAAAGTTGTATGAGTGCGCAAATGTGTGGATGAAGTATAATGCAGAAAATTTGAAGGTTATCAACTTTGGTGGCAAAAACAGGAAGGGAGATTATTGTCCGAGTGGCAATAAATTGGGAAAGGGGGAGGTGCAATAAGATCTGGGCATCCTTGTACACCAGTCACTTAAACTAAGCATGTATTTGCAGTAGGCAGTGAAGAAGGCAATTGGTACATTGGTACAAGAGCAGAGATGTCTTGCTGAAATTGTACAGGGCCTTGGTAAGACCACACCTGGAGTATTGTGTACAGTTTTGGTCTCCTTATCTGAGGAAGGCTGTTCCGGCAATGGAGGGTGTGCAACTAAGGTTTACCGATCTGATTCCTAGGATAGCAGGACTGACATATGAAGAGAGGTTGGATTGGTAGGACTATATTCACTGGAGTTTAGAACAATATAGAAACATAGGAACAGAAGTAGGCCATCCAGCCCCTTGAGCCTGTTCCACCATTCAGTGAGATCATGGATGATATGTGGTGTAACTCCACATAACTGCCTTTGGCCCATATCTATTTGCTTAATAAAAAATTATCTATCTCAAATTTAAAATTAACTACTGACCTAGCAATCACTGCCATTTGTGGAAGCAAGTCCCAAATATGTACAGCCCTTTGTGTGCAGAAATGCTTCCTGACATCTCCCCTGAATGGTCTGGCCCTAATTCTCAGTCTATGCCCCCTAGTTCTAGAATCCCCAGCCAGCGGAAATAGTTTATCTTTATCTACCCTGTCTTTTCATGTTAATATCCTGAAGACCTCGATCACTTGACCCCTCAACTTTCTAAATTCTAGAGAAAATAGCCGACTCTTTCCTCATAACAACCCCTCAAGTCCAGGTATCATTCTTGTAAACCTACACTGTACTCTCTCCAAGGCCGATATATCCTTCCTAAGCTGTGGTGCTCTGATCTGCTGACAGTACTTCAATTGAGGTCTAACTAGAGTTTTGTACAACTGAAGTATCCTCATACTCCTGTCTTCCAGATATAGCGTGCAACATTCCATTGGCTTTCTTGATTATTTCCTGCATCTGTTTCTGATGTTTTAAAGAGCTTTGCACCTGAACTCCCAAATCTCTTTGGACATCCATTACACTTAACTTCATACCTGCTATCCTTTTTCACTCCAAGATGGATAACCTCACATTGGTTACATTGGACTCCATCTGCAACAGTTCTGCCCATTCACTTAGCATAAAATTACAAAGGGATATTGATAGACCATCATCTACACTGTGTAGAATGCCACTTTTGTGTCATCAGCAAATTTGGATATATGACTTTCTATGTCATTATCCAAGTCGTTAATAAATAGTTGAGATCCTAAGACAGATCCTTATGTGGCACCACTAGTTATATCCTGACAATTTGAGTATGAATCCATTGCCCCTACTATCTGTCACTTGCCATTCAATTAATTTCTCAGCCACGTCAGTAATTTGCCTTCAATTCCATGTGTTTCTGCCTGAGTCACAACTTAAGGATACACAGCAGGCCATTTAGGACTGATGCGAGGAAAAATGTCTTCATCCAGAATGCGGTTAGTCTGTGAAATTCTCTGCCACAGAAAGTAGTTGAGGCCAAAAACTGAATGTTTTCAAGAAGGAGTTAGATACAATTCTTAAGGCTAAAGGGATCAAATGACATGAGGAGAAAGCAGGAACAGAGCCCTGTGTGCTGAGTAGGATGATCAGCCACAATCATATTGAATGGTGGAGCAGGCTTGAAGGGCTGATTGGCCTACTCCTATTTTCTATGTTTCCATGAGTGAGCAAATTTAGTTCAGTTGGCGATGCTGAGTGTTCAGGTCAATATATGGAAGTAACCGAAAATCACAAGGTCTTAGAGTAGCAACTACATCTATATCCTTCTTAAACCTCAGCAAATCCTGGAATTCAGCAGTCTATATCCACTTCGATATCAACATGAACCTTTGTTCTTTCTCAATCCCAACTAACGTGTCATCCCAGGATGATGCCCCAACAAATTTCACACTTTACCTGAATGAGTGGAAGCAAAAATTCCACAACCATTCCAGCAGTTTCCCATATAATGTCAACTGGAGAATACAGGAATAGCTGAAACTTTGTTGGCTAAGGTACAACTCAGGAATAAAGTGGGGACCATTCACAATTTTCAAGTAGCTGGCAACAAGTCATCTCCAACAAGACAGTGAATCTATCACTCCTTGATTTCAAGTGACATTATCATGATCAAATTGCCCAACATCAACATCCTGGATATTGAATTGGATTAGAAATTAACCTGAACATGCGAATGATACTGACTAATTATTAGCTAAAAGTTAGTCGGAGTCATACAGCATAGCTTTAAACCCACCATGTCTACACAGACCAACAAACACCAAACTACATCCATCTCATTTATGTGCACTTGGTCCATAGCCTACTATGTCACCGCATTTTAAAAACTCATCCAGATGCTTCATAAATGTTGCAAGAGAACCTGCCTCTACCACCCTCTCAGGCAGTGCATTCCATACTTCTACCCACACTGGGTGAAAAAAAATTCTTTCTCAGAATGCTTCTAAACCACTTCTTCCTCACCCTAAACTCTTAGAGTTGACTAATTCTTTCTCATACTCACTAACTTGGTTGAGTTTTTTGAAGAAGTGACAAAGAAGATTGATGAAGGCAGAATGGTGGACATCGTCTCTATGGACTTCAACAAGGCATTTGACAAGGTTCTGCATGGTAGACTGGTTAGCAACGTTAGATCACATGGAATTCGGGGAGAACTACCCATTTCGATACAAAATTGGCTTGAAGGCAGGAGACAGAGGGTTGTGGTGGAGGATTGTTTTTCAAACTGGAAGCCTGTGACCAGCGGTCCACTGTTTTTTGTCATCTGAACAAATGAGTTGAATGTAAATATAGGAGCAATGGTGAGTAAGTTTGCAGATGACAACAAAATTGGCGGTGTAATGGACAGTGAAGAAGGTTATCTCAGAGTACAATGGGACCTTGATCAGATGGGCCGATGGGCTGAGGAGTGGCAGATAGAGCTTAATTTAGATAAATGTGAGATGCTGCACTTTGGTAAGGCATATCAGGGGAGGATTTACACACTTAATGGTAGGATCCTGCGGAGTGTTACCGAACAAAGAGACCTTGGGGTGCAGGGTCATAGTTCCTTTAAGTGGAGTTGCAGGTAGATAGGGTAGTGCAGAAGGTGTTTGGTACACCTATCTTTATTGTTCATTGCATTGAATATAGGAGTTGGCATGTCATGTTGCAACTGTACAGGACATTAGTGAAGCCACTTTTGGAATACTACATTCAATTCTGATCTCCATGCTATAAGAATGATGTTAAACTTGAAAGAGTGTAGTAAAGATTTGCAAGGGTGTTGCCAGTTTGGAGGGTTTGAGCTATAGGGACAGGCTGAATAGGCTGGAGCTATATTTCCTGGAGCGTCGGAGGCTGAGGGGTGACCTTATAGAGGTTTATAAAATCATGAGGGGCATGGATAGAGTATATAGCCGAGGTCTTTTTCCCAGGGCATGGGAGTTCAAAACTAGAGGGTATAGGTTTAAGATGAGAGGGGAAAGTTTTAAAAGGGACCTAAGGGGCAACCTTTCCATAGAGAGGTTGGTGCATGTATGGAATGAGCTGCCAGATGAAGTGGTGGAATCTGGTACGATTACAACATTTAAAAGGCATCTAGATGGGGACATGAATAGGAAGGGCAAATGTGATCAGATTAATTTAGGAAATTCGGTCAGCGCAGGCAAGTTGGACAAAGGGTCCATCTCCATGCTGCACAACTCTAAGACTCTATGACAAGTACAGACTTATCACTACATAAGGAATTGCAAATGATACTGAGTGCACTGCAATCATCAATGTCATCCCTGCTTCTGATCTTATGATAGAGGGAAGGTTATTAATGAATTAGTTGGAAGATGGTTGGGCCTAAACCACAAACATGAGTAATGCATTCAGTAATATCCTGGAACTAAAATGATTGGCCTCCAACAACCACAACCATCCTTTGTGCTAGGTATGATTGCAACCAGTATTTCTCACTGCTAACCACTTGACGGCAATTTTACATGGGCCCCTTGATCCAGTTTTGATCAAATGCTGCCTTGATTCTCGACTTATCTCTGGAATTCAGCTGTTTTCTCCATGCATGAACCACAGATGTAATCTGGTGATATTTCCAATTACCAAAATTCTCATTAATTCAGTTTTGTATAAGGAAATATTAGGATGGGTGACCAAAACCTTGCTCAAATAAGTAGGTTAGGAGAATTGTACCCAGTATCCCTATTCAATCTCTTCATTTCTAATCAATATCCTACCCAGCTTTGGCAAAGGAGAACACATCCTCTCAGTCTTTGATGTGACACTCACCTAAATATTGCTCCAAGGTTAAGAACTGGACCGAATGGTTTATTGGGTACAATGGTTGTCCCAATTCCAGTAGCTTGCACATGAATACTCCTTGTATGGCTGTTCTCTACTTCCAAGTGTACCTTGTCTTCTGACCAGATTGTGTCATCAAGATGTGCCACAACATATAAATCTTTGTGTTGAAGAGGAGGGATCACCATTTCACTGGGTTCCAAACGCCATTTTGGGTTTTCTAAAGTCTGAAATCAGTCAGATTAGGGACAATTTATTGATATTAATAAAATTGAAACATATCAAATCTGCAAAGAAACATTACAACTGGATCCAGAGCACAGAAGTTAAAATGACTGAAAGTGCATGAACACCAAATTTGTTAACATTTTCATTAAAATAGCAGTTAGTGAAGTTTATAAAATAATATTAAGTGTTCCCAGACTAACATTGCACGATTTAACTTTTGGCTCTAACGTCTTTAGTAATGCTATGTATAAAAGGGTCAAGGAAATAGTCAATTAGTAAACTAAACTGTTAATGTAAAGCACAAAATGTACCCAAGTTGATCAGAAATTTCTAACACCACATTGGAATTTTCTAAAGCTAAACCTTGTAGGGCAGCTCCAAAAATCAGGAGGGAATAAAAAACAGGCCAGAATGCGAATCCTAAAGTCCTCCTCCATTTCTAAACCTGCAGTTTTCAGTGACGCAGGAATAGGAGTGGGGTGGGAGCCTTGCACACTGTGAGTTAAGAAGTTGTTAGCAATGGGCATTTTAGAACTTCTGCAATTTTCAACAAGGTGGCTACATTTTGGAAGTCTTTCTAAGTTACAATTGATAAGTGGAGATGCGTCCAGCCGTGATCCATGGATTACAAATAAGGAGCTTACAAAATGTGACAGAAAGGCATTGACCCTCCCTCCCTTTACAGTTCATGATGAAATGCTATAGCTGTGATATATCTATATTTACTCAAGTAACTAATAACAGTGTTGTGACTTTCAATGGTTGTTGACCATTGTTGTCACATAGCTTTTTCTGACAACTGGCAAGCTATCAAGAGAAGGGCAGTATTTGAAAAGGAAAAAAGTCTTCAAGTGCAATAGAAAAGGTTTTCCATTGGATAAAACTCTGTTTCTCAAAGCATAGCCCAATGTCAGATTAATAGCTAATTGTTTAATTTTTCCCCATGGCTTTTACTAAATCTTTATAGTTCAACCATCTGTTGTGTTTCAAAGCTTTGACAGATATTTGAGCTTTTAGCTCTCTTTAAAGGTTCTGAGAGATGCTGCTCAGCACGATATTTTGAACACAAATATTCAGGGAAATGTTAATTTGATGGATTTTTTTAACCTTGCAAACCACTGGTGGATTTTACTCAGTAGGGGTTGCTTACATAGCTATGCAGGGGAACATGTACATGCTTATTTTCACAGACCTATGTCCTCTGGAAGAGCATAATGGTTTTTAAAAGTGGCTATTAGGTGCTATTTGTTTAATTTGGCATTTTATGAGCTTATGAAGACTTCCAAATATTATTATGTTGCTTGTCACTTTGGTTTATTGAGGACACCAGGTGAGTGGATGAGGATAAGTGGGGTGGTGAGAACAAGAGTTGAGGAAGGATGAGAGTAGTAGAAGGTAACAACTAGTGGTGGGGTTTTACACTAATCTGAGTAACTGGGTTGATCTCTCTGCAAACAGATGCAGGTCACTTAACCTGGCCACTTCAGCATCATCCTCTCCTTTGTCACCAGGTCATGTCCACCTCCAGCAAATGAAAATTCTGCCAGTAAGCACTGCCAGGACAGGGCCAGGATCATAACATTCGAAAAATTCCTGACTGTTAATTCCCACTCCCTCATGAAAATACAGCCCATTTACTTTGTATTACAGGAAAAGTCAAAGGTTAGTCTATACTCAATCCAATCAACATATGGGATGTTGGGCTATGTAAATAAAGGTAGAGGTAAAGTTACCATAGTCCCAACAGATGATATTCTGCTTTCTCATTAGAGAGAGAGAGAGAGAGGCAGACACACAGACAGATGGTGAGTTTAAGCTGAGGGTCAGCACGCTCAGACAAAGGGCAAAGTTGAGGTACTGAGTATGAAGCTCTGTAACAAGAGTATTGCTTTCAGTTCTAGTCATCTTGTGGGAAGGATGTGAGGATCCTCGAGAGGGTATATCAGAGAGTTGCCAGTATAATTCCAGGGATGAGAACCCCCAGACCCAGCTACCACCTGCTGGCTCTTCTTCATCGAGACTGGATCCAGGTTGAGCAGTGTCTGATGCACGGAGTGTTATACAGCTGCAAAGTTGCTGTATGGAATGGAGTGAATATTTCACCAATCTATTTGGTCTCGTAGAATCATTGAATCCCTATAGTGTGGAAGCAGGCCATTTAGCCCGTCAAGTCCATACCGACCATCCAAAGAGCATCTCACCCAGACCAAACCCCCTCTCCCTATCCCTGTAACCCTGCTAATCCACCTAACTTACACATCCTGGACACTTTAGGCAATTTAGCATGGTCAATCCACCTAATCTGCACATTACTTTGACTGTGGGAGGAAACTGGAGCACCCAGAGGAAACCCATGCAGACACAGGGAGAATGTGCAAACCCTACACAGATAGTCACCTGAGGTTGGAATCGAACCTGGGTCCTTGGCGCTGTGAGACAACAGTATTAACCACTGAGTGACCATGCTGCCCCATTTGGTGGTGGCGAATGAAGTCTAACCCCACCCCAGTAAATGCTGCCCTAGAATGTTATCCTGTGGACCATGTCTTAATTTGGCCTCAGCAAACAAGGTAGGAAAATCAATACAAGCAAAGTACTACAGATGCTGGAGATCTGAAATAAAAAGAGAAAGTGCTGGAGAACCTCAGCATCTATAGAGCAACAGGAGCAAAGTTAACATTTCTTCTATGAAAGTTCTAAGACTTTTCTACGGAACTGAAGGTGGCTGGAAATTGATGACTTTTATGCTGCTGAAAAGCGGGCAGGAGGAGCAAGTGAAACAGTTGGGAAAGGTGCTCACAGCAAAAGGCAAAGGGATACTAATGGTAGGAGAGAAGGGATATAAATGAAGTATAGTGTTGAAGGCAAGCATTAACAGCAAAAAGAGGTCTAAGTTTATTGAACTAATTTGCAGAGTTCTGAAGATTGTGAAGTGCCGAGATGAAAAATGAGGTGCAGTTCCTCCAGCATGCATCAGGCTTCACTGAAACACTGCAGCGGGTCTAGAACAAAAATGATAGTATAAGAGAAGGGTGGCGTAATGAAATGACAAGCAATCAGAAGATCAGGGTAATTCTTGTGGACAGAACAGAGATGTACCTTCATTTATATCCCTTCTCTCCTACCATTAGTATCCCTTTGCCTTTTGTTCTGAGCACCTTTCCCAACTGTTTCACTTGCTCCTATTGCCCACTTTTCAGCAGCATAAAGATCATCTGCAAAACGGTCTCCCAGTCTGCATTTGCTTTTGCCAATGTAGAGGAGAGTGCATTGTGAACTATGAATACGATGGACTATATTGAAAGAACTACAAGCAAAATGTTGTAAGGTGAGAGGAGTTTGAGGCACAGGTTAAACCTTCTGTGATTACATCCGAATGTGCTACGTGGGAATCAAGAGGTATTGGGAGTTACCAAGAATTGGGCCAGGGTGTCATAGAGGGAACAGACCCTGTGGAACGCTGACAGGATTGGAAAGATGTGTTTGGTAGTGGAATCCTGCTGGAGGTGGCAGAAACAGCAGATGATGATTCCTTAAGTACGGAGGTAATTGACCAGTCACAAAATCTCAATGGAGAGTTCAAGGAAAGGTAAGAGGTGGAAGGGAGGGGTCCAGTAGAGGGAGAGTATTGGAGATAGATGAAAGGGTCCGTGGAGTAGGATAGTTTATCAATAGTAAGGTAATCAATTTCGTGTTTCAAATCAAACAAGTGGGTGTTAAATCTGTGCAAGTGAAAATAACAGATAGTCATCCAGTTGTAAAAGGCAGGTAAATTATGATAAAAATGGCAAATTGAAGACCAGGAATAAATAACATGCAATAGTTTTAAGAGATGGGGAATACCAAATCTAAACACACTGACATCAAAAAGGAATAGCTTACAGAAGTGAAGATATGCATGGATTACGAAAAGAATGAAGAAAACTTCTAAAGTTGCCAGTGTTGTTGTAGTGAGTTCCTGCAAAGACTGGGTTGCTAAAAGCAGTTTGTAGCTCAGCCATATGCACCAAATAGTCTCTGACTCAATTTCCACCTGGAATTCAGTGAAATGAACTTAGTATTTGAGGCCTAACAATTAGTCTCATTAAAGGCAGGAGGAAAGAAACATTCAGCATTCAAACTCATTATCATTATCCAGTATCAATCTCCTCAACTGTTTGTGGATATTATCACAACCAGGCTGATTGTGATACTTTGCAGAAATGAATAGCTTACTAAGATCTCAAACACAGGCCATCAATAAAAAAATTGCTCACTTGGTTGGATTATGGACAGCATTTTGTATTGAAGGGACCCTGGCAAAACGCACTGACTTCAGGAGAAGAAGGGAAAATTCTGATGGGGAAAAAGAAAGAATTGCGGGAAACAAACAATGTTTCTGGATTAACAATGCCACACAGCTTTAAAAAAATAAATTTATAAATATATGGCTTCTGAAAATATTGTCAAGGTGGGCATAAAAAGGCGCTGCTAAATCTTTAATATTTTGGGACGAGGGGTCCCTGGAATTTCTGCGGCTCTAATCAAAGATGTACTGATTTTTTCAAAGTTACTCATCAATAGGAAATATCAAAGTAATGTTCATTTTTCCTTTATAAATGTCATCAAATTATGCATGTCAATTGTATAATGCCCTGTGGCATTTTCTGTGCTCAAAGAACCAATAGTTAATGGACTGTTTTGTGGAACATGTTCCCGCATTGATATGCGGACTTTAAACAGCCCAAACCCAATGAAAGAAAATTACCAATACAGAGTGACTGTAATGGTCAAATTCACAGGATGCGCTATTGCAAATAGCTGACGTCGCTTCCGCAGAAAGTAGCAAACCCATGACTTCCACCATCGGGAAGGATAAGAACACCTCATCTCTATATTTCCATCTAAGTCATGTACAATTCTAACTTGGGAGATTTTTTAATGTTCCTTCACCATTGCTATAACCCTGAAACTTTCTACATAATCCTAAAACTCTACTGAACAACATTTCAGTAAAGAT